AATGTCCAGTAATGCAGACAACAGCCGAGCAAGGGCGGGTTGGTTATTGCCTTGGCCTCTTGCCGAGCGGTCTCGGTTCAATTCCCATGCGGTAGGCTATAGTTTGCAGTTCCCTCGTTCGATCATGATTGAACATATGGGAAGCTGTTTGGATCCGCCCTAGAATAAGTGTGTTCGCCAATTACATTTATCGTTATTTAATATATAGCTTTTGATCTTTTCGCAAAAAAAAGTTTTATCAACCTTATCAATACCACTCCTTTCAATCTTTAGTCCATTGAATGCATAACATATAAGAATTTAATTTGGGACATATATGAGTAAGTGATTAATATCGCACCCATCATAGTAAATAAGGTCCTCCCCAAGAGAAGAATTTGCATGTATTTTCTAATTTATGTAAGGGCCGGTTGTGCTACTATATATGAGTGAAGCCCATGTCTAGCCGATGAAACTCGTGTTTTTTTTTTGTATATCTGATTGCTAATATTATATCGTACCTAAAATCTTAAAAGTGCAGCTTCACTTTTTGACCTCTTCGAGCGCACACCTGTGCGGGTTGTCCGATAGAATCGGACGGACGAAAACCGCTAGGGATGAGGCGCAATTGATTTCCTGTGATTCCATTGGACAACTGAGAACAGTCCACTTATTCAAATGACTAAGGCTAGTCATAGTGGGAGTAACATAAGTAGTAACATAGATGCCACATAAGCAAAAAAGATGATGTGTCATGTAATTAAAGAGGAAAGAGACAAATAGAGTAACATAATATGTTACCATCACATAGCGGTTTCCAATACAAAATGAGTCTACAAAGCAATAAATGAAGATATGTATGTTACTACACCTATGACACTTCCCATTATGAAGGTGATAACATGAACTAGTAATATATGTATGTTACTAGTCTAAGTTACTCCCCACTATGACTAGCCTAATGGGCTCGGGGGAAATTCATCACACGAGACAAAACTCGATGGACACCAAGAGTACAATCACATGCATTTACTTACTTTTTCCAAAAGAAAGTCTACAACTTTCAAACCGTGTGTCAAAACTACGATATATATGTTTCCATTGTTAGCCTACTTGCGACTAGCTCTTTAAAACTAGACTCTATATTGATATGTTTCAACAAACTCTTACTCGGAGAAACTTGAGTGCTACATGAACTAAGTTCTGTATTACGAGAAACAACTTTATTATTGTGCAAGCCAACTTCCTATTAGATTTGGAAGAGTGCAGCATGTGCGTGCATTTTTTTGCATTTTTTGGAAATAAAATCTATAACTTTTGAATCGACCGTTGGAGTTGAGATTCATTTTCGCCCTTGAAGTTGACTCATGCGGCACTAAACTTGCACACAACTGCTAATTAGTTACATGCAGCACTATGAAAATTCAACAACTAAGTATATTGGTGTTTATGAAGTTTCATATTATTGCTAACTAATTAGTTGCTTAGATGTACTCCAAAAGTTGCCTACTATGATTTTTAGTTGCCTACCTGAAAATTAAGGTATCCACGTTGCTATGATAGGTTGTCTACCTTGATGATACTTAGTTGCCAACAATAACATTAAAGAAATAACTTGATATCCTTTAATCAGAACAACAATACAGTCTAAGGGCATCAGAGGCTTTTCATTGCATATACTTAGATAAGCTGAAAAAACATGCACCGACAAGAACTGGTTGGCTTATTATTTAGGGCTTATTTTCATAGAACCTTATCAGGGGCTTATTTTTATGAGCTTATTTTCACAGCATAGCTCAAAAGAACTGGGCTTTGGTTACCGTCGATACTTAGTTTCCTACATCGCCGGGGAGTATTGTAGGGTTAACTTCCATACAATATTAGGGTACTCACTAGTCATGATAAAAAAATTAAGGGTAGACAGTCGTGGTAGCCAACTTACAATATCATTAGGTTATTTGTCATTATGAAAAATGAACATGTAGAGAGGTGCTTCTCGTATCACTAATTTTGGTTCCTGCGTGGCACTAAATTGCTCAGAGAAAATTTCGTCAAAATATATTCATACTCCCTCCGTTTTTATTTAGTTCGCATATTAGCTTTGGTCAAAGTCAAGCTTTACAAACTTTGACCAAGTTTATATACAAAAATATTAAGATATACAATAACAAATCAACAACATTAGATTTATTATTAAATGTACTTTCACATCGTATAGATTTATTATGATAAATGTCTATATTGTTTTCTATAAACTTGGTCAAACTTTATGAAGTTTGACTTTAGTCAACTTTAATATGCAGAGTAAATAAAAACGGAGGGAGTATAAGGTCTAGTTTCGAGTAGCTGTCTGTGAGGAGTCCAAAAGTGAAAACGGATCCCAATTATGATGTTCTGCTCAAAAGTTATAGATTTTTGAAAAAATAAATCAAAACATGGTTTTCTTCTTAGTTGGAGTGTGTAGGCACGGACTTCTTTTTATGGGTGTGTGTCTAAGAATCACTAGCCAACAAACGTGTGAGGGCGCACAAACAAGATGAGTCACCGCTTCCTTTTCAGTGGGAGTGAAAAAAGAGTATTCTTTTTATGGATGTGTGTTTAGAACCACTCACCAGCAAATTACTAGCTAGACGCGCTCATACCATATTTATCAATACGGTAGGTGTATGATAAAGTGGTATTGAGTACTGGCCAGTAACGTTTCCAAGAGTATCTCCGCGGCTTTATTAAAAATCAAATCGAACATATTTTCTACTCAAAACAAAAATAAATCAAGTGTATTTATTGCTACATTTAGCAAGAACATTTCCCATGGGCAAACGACAGAACAGCTAGCAGTGCTTCAATTCCACACCTCGTGACCTGGTACTACTATATGGACTGAGATCCGGTGACTTGCTCTGGGCGAGTCATCGGTGAACAGTACAGTGCCTTGCTCCCTTCTCTACATCGTCAGATCAAAAATCTATGGACAGATCTGTATGGACAGATTTGTATGGACAGATTCGTGTGAACAGCTGAAAGGTACAGTGTATGAGCTACATGATATGCTACAGGGATTATGCTACAGGAATCCGGCTACAGTGACCCGACTACCCGACTACAGTGCATGCGCTACAGGAATTCGCCTGCTGTTTTGCTATTCATACAGATCTGTCCATAGATTTTTGATCTGACGGTGTAGAGAAGGGAGCAAGGCACTGTACTGTTCACCGATGACTCGCCCACAGCAAGTCACCGGATCTCGGTCCCTACTATATATGTATGCAACTGCACATGTGTGCCGTGCTCCATTCATTGCACACAACCCAAGGTCGAGCAATGTCGTCCTCGTCGTACTTCGGGAGGCCGTCCTACTGCGCCATGGCCCTCGTCCTCCTCCTCACCCTGCTCTGCATCGCCTTCCCCGCCTACCTGCGCAACCCGGTCAGCGTCGCCAGCTGCTTCACGGGAGCCGACGTCCGCGCCGCCGCCGCCGCCCAACCAGCGGCGTCGGCGTCGGCGGCGTTGGTGGCGGACGACGGGGGCCGCCGCCCGGGCCAGCTCCGCATCCTCCTCGGCGTGCACACGATGCCCAAGAAGCACTCCCGGCGGCACCTGATCCGGATGGCGTACGCGCTGCAGCAGACGGCGGCCCTCCGCGGCGCGGCGCGGGTGGACGTCCGGTTCGCGCTCTGCGCGCGGCCGATGCCGCCCGAGCACGGCGCGTTCGTGGCGCTGGAGCGCCGCGCCTACGGCGACGTGCTGCTCTTCAACTGCACCGAGAACGCCGAGGACGGCAAGACGTACACCTACTTCTCGGACCTGCCGGCCATGCTCGGCGCCTCCGGCGGCGAGGGCCGCAGGCCGCCGTACGACTACGTGATGAAGGTGGACGACGACACGTACCTCCGGCTGGACGCGCTGGTGGAGACGCTGCGGCGGGCGCCGCGGGAGGACATGTACTACGGCGTGGGCCTGCCGTTCATGGACCGGGTGTCGCCGCCGTTCATGCTCGGCATGGGGTACGCGCTCTCCTGGGACCTCGTCCAGTGGATCACCGCCTCCGACATGGTCAGGAGGAAGGCCAAAGGTACGCCCTCCCTCTGCTTGTGAACCATAAAAAAGTCCAGTAGAACATCTGTCATCACATGTCGTCGAAACTAATGGCGTGTGCATAAGGTGTGGAGGACGTGACCATGGGGAACTGGCTGAACGAGGGGGGCAAGGCAAAGAACAGGGTGAACATCTTCCCCAGGATGTACGACTACAAGAGCGCCGAGGCCAAGGATTTCCTGGAGGACACCATCGGCGTGCACCAGCTCAAGGCGGACATCAGGTGGGCGCACACGCTGGCGCACTTCAACGCCACCTCCGGCGATCTCCGGCCTTCCAGAGAGGGGAGCTCATAGATTCATATGTGGAAGACAGACCTGTAAATTTGCAGAGTCAAACTGCCTCACTGAAGGGCAGCCTGTCTAGAAACCCAGCAGTTTCACATGCATATCATACATTTGGCATTAATTAAACGCTGGATTCCAGAGTTTCCAAACAGGGCCTGAATGTTGCATTATTTTCCACTTATAAGAGCATCATTTCTCTGCACTGATAAGAGCTCACTAGAAAGAACTAAAATACAATGAACAGCCATGCTAGATGTACAGGATGAACCAGAGGCCTTCCTGGAGACAGGAAGGTGAAATATCTACTCGCCAATTCGATCCGAGAAAGGACCTCACCATCCCTGGCGCGCTTGGATCTTTACTAGAGGGAATGCTTTCCCACGCTCACCGACAGCTAGTCGACTTTATGAACGGCATGGCTATACATGTAGTAGACCATCCTCACCATTTCAGTTTCTCTACTCGGCTCCAGACATGAATTCCCTGTTCGAGCGATCATCTGACAAGGGGTATGCGCCAACAAATGGTTGGCATGTCCATCTCCACTGGCGAATAATCAGCTGTAGTTATCGTCTGGCGGATGCAGCAAGGTGAGCACAGCAGATATCTTGTGCAAAGAAATGAAACGCTAGAGACCTTTTAACTCGGGGCAGGGCTCTTTCTAGACCTTCTTGACTCACTGGACTTATGTTCAGGACCTGCCTCTTCCGGCATTTTGGCCTGGCTAGATTCACTCGCTCGAGATCTGGACCTGGATATCCGTCGGCTTCTTCTAGTTCCTGTGTGCTTTTCTGCATCTGCATCCGTTGGCTTCGACTTTGCTCTGACCGACCTTGCACTAGAAGACCCACGCGATTTCCGTTTTGAACCCACACCCTGTTTGGCCACCTGTTTTAATCCTTGTTGGGTTTGACACTGGTCATTATTTTCTTGCAACTCTGAACAAACAATTGATGCTGAAGTTCCCTGCACAATGAAATACGTACATGTTATCGGCGAGCTTCAAGAACAAGAAAAACAACATGCAGAGAATAAAGGCTCGAAAACATTCAAATCATTCAGGAGGAAAGATTTTTTTTAATTTCATCACCAATCAATGATCGGCTGATAATTTTGGTGTGAGAACATGCGAGAATCAGTCCACAAAATACAACACCAAACATAGAAGACAAACATCTTGAAACATCAGTAGCGCAGTGCTTGACATTTAATCATAGCATAGCAGAAGAGGAAAAAACACAGTACAAAACATCTTGAAACATCATTAGCGCAGTGCTCGACATTTAATCATAGCATAGCAGAAGAGGGAAAAAACACAGTACAGTGCAACACCAGATTCATGTGCCAAGCATTACCTTGTTTGTAGTCGAACAAGGTTCTGTGCCCTGAACTTGCTCGTCTTCAGAATCATCCATTTCCTCACATTCAAACTCAACATGCTGGCTCTCTTCCTCGGAATCACTTAATTCTTCTTGTTCCATTACAATGCCTTGCATTGTTTCCTCACCAGGCCTTTCAGTGTCATGATGAGGACTAGCATTCCCAGGCTGTAAATTCAAAATACTAGCTCTGTCCTTCACAGGCCTTTCTGGCTGAATTCTGGATTTACTAGGAGTACTTCTCAAATCATTTGCAATCCTGAAATCCACTGAGGAACATAAATGAATGTCCAAATCAATGTTGGTATCCCTCTCACAAGGGCTTGTGGATTCTTGCATATCAATACCGTTCTCTCTTTCGCTTGTCGACGCTTCCCTAACTGTTGACTGGTCATCCACTGGAGGTTCCCTAATACGACCGTCAGATTGATTAGAAAGTGGACGACAGTCCTCTTCTGGTACTTCCACATGCATCTCAGCTTCAGGTCTTTGCAGCAGAGGATGGAAGTCGATGGTATTAGCATTGACAGGAGCTCTTTCCATGCCATCTGTAGTCTGCGTATTACTTTTCTCAACTTGAACTTTCTCAAAAGGGAAAAGATTATAATTTCTTGAATGACTAGTAAGATTTTGAATCGAATGGCTATGTGACGAAAGCACTTCTCGAGGATGCTGAAAAAGCAAAGGATGCATTTGAAAATCTTGCTCAGCGCCATCTTCCATCGAACGTGCATCACGCCCATGTTGTTGCGATCTGTCAGTAGTACTATGATGAGGGAAAAGATTTAGCTGTGTGTAAACACATTCTGTAAAGGTTGGAGGTGGCACAGGAAACAGATCCTGCGCCGCATTCTGATGAAATTCCATCTGAGATATCACACGGACAGAAGGAGGAAGGTTTACAGGAGGCAAATCTGGGGCCAACTTGACGACATGGCTACCTTTCTCTTTAGACAATTGTGAAGCTTGCGGTTCATCCAAAGTCACACCAAACACCCTTTTAGTTGAAGGACCATCAGAAGCGCAAGAGCTAAAAGGTATATATGCAGCGCCGACACCATGATGCGTACCATTTCTTTTATGCTGCTCAAAGCGGCCATATGCAGAACCACATTCATCATTGAGGCTGGTGCCCGTTTGCATCATATTCATGCTCCTATTCTCTGTGTCTGCTAAAAATGCTTCATTGACATATGGATCATCACCATCATCATCATCATCATCATCATCATCATTTTCAACATCCTCAAAAGCATCATTATCAGTCTGTCACGAAAGCAATATACATCATGCTCAATAACACTAGTCTAAATGGAAATAGGTATTCAAGGTTCTCTTGTGAGTTCGGTAACACACTAACCTCCTGCTCACGACCTACTTGTGAATCAGCCATGGAAGCTTTTAATTGCCTCCTCTTCGCTTCATATGTTCTCCTCTTTGCTTTCAAAGCCTCACTTTTACTGTAAGATCGCTGGATTCCATTGGCAACTCTCCACTGACGCTGGAGCAGTGAAGGATCTCTGTATGGCACAACAAACTTCCAAACAGATGTCCAATCATGTTTGAATATCTTGAGCCCCTGCATCAACATAGGAATGAGGGGAAAATTAAGCAAATACCAATTCAACAGGGAACAGAAGATAGTCTGCAGACACAGATATAACCACCTCTTCGATACGCTGCACTTCCTCACTAGTCAATGGAGAATTCTTCATACGGCGCACATCCTGCATTATTTCGACAAATATGCTCAGTACTTTGGTAGTATGTTGATTTTTTCAAAGACAGCAGTTAAGTAGATCAACATCTACATCCTATTGGGGATTACCATAACAGCCAGTAGAGCACGAGGATTGGGTCATCACAGTTTCAAATCGGTATTGGTTTTTGCTAAACGGGAACATATTGACCTACTACTTTAAAACACACAGGAGTGCTCTTTGAAACTTCCAGTGACAAGAGGTAAGATCATAGAGCCCCACCAAAGCACTATAAATTTCGTCATTGTTCTATACCCTTTAAAAATAGAGCTGGTAGAAGTCATTTCTCAGCTTGCTTCTAATTATAATAACCAAATGTGATATGGTCCATATTACAGAAGTTAGCTTTTACAGTTTCCCAGGGATTTTTTTAGTCCTACTTTACGTTGACACATAAGAAAAACTGAAAAGATATGTTGCAAAAACATAAAAGATTAAAATAATGGTGATTCAAACACTGCCAATACTTCTTAAGGGGCTTCAGTACTTAGAAAATCATTATAGAAAAGAAGTCTCTGCCGACGAAACACATATCAGTTTCAAAACTAGACGATGGGATGAACCGGCACCCCATACTTATGCTAATCAGTTAAGACCTTAGAAATATTCTTGAACCTCAAAGGCTTATAAGAATTCCTTAAGCATATTATGTACCAGTAAATGGAAAGATGTATACTTACTTACCTTGACTGGATTGTCAGTAGCTTTTGCTGAGCTGCGGTTCTTCTGTCTCACAAATATCTACACTACAAAAAGTTATGTTACTGAAACAGCATAAAGCATACAAAGAGAAACCAGGATTTTGAGCAGCTGAAAACTTGGTCAAGAGACTAAACTAAGCACTGGGCAAAATAAGAATTTCCCCATATGATCTGGAGTTGTGGTTCTTAGCTGAGATTAGAGGATCAAGATTGATCTAAGCTTGCTCGTATAACGGCAACAAAAGCAGAACAATTTACAGGCAGTAGCCTTTGTTGAAATTAAGCATATAAGAGTCACCAAATCTTCATTCAAAACATGCAACCTGGTGTATTAGTTATTAGGAGTAGATATCAAATTAGGCTGGCCATAGTGCCAGCACCCAGCAGTTTGGAAACTCTCACTGCCATGTTAATACAATCAAAACAACACTTGTTTCTAATACCCACTCTTTAATGAATTCCATTTCTTCATACTATCTGATAGTCAGACAAAGTCTGTCATAGCACCAAGGGCACCAAACAAGTGATGAGAATACTAAATTGGTATGTCTAGCAAATAATAGAAAACTGTGAGGTACTCAATGAAACAAATAAATGGCACCACAATTGTACCTGATGCGTTGACTTGCAAGGAAGAAAACGCTTTTGTATCGCTTCCCAGTCATTATTATATTCCAGAAGTCCTAGAGCTAATAACCTGCAGGCAGAACATAAAGTAAGAATGTTACATAGCCAAGAAAACAAATGATAGCACAGTTGTATTTGGGTGATATATAATCATGCAATTGAAAAGGGTAATATATGATGCCACACTAAGCAAGTGGACAAAAAATATCAAACTTAATACGATTAACCACCCAAAAGGAGACCTTACAAAAATTTCAATATGAAGATGAAAGGACAGCTTCGTAAAGCCAGATACAAATTGCATAAAACAGTGACAGTAATACAGGAAAGAAAACATTACAACCTCAATGGAGACTACAATAAAATTTCGACATTCAGCATTCCTTAAACCTTACATTTTGAAGATTGAAATTCATGCATCATGGATAGATTAGAATTAACAGAAAAGAAAACCATAATGCATGCCTTATAAACGTTAGTGAAAATGTAAATCATACCCGTCCTCTGCATCAGTGAAAAGCAGTCTACTGACCATAGCTGCGGGAGGTGGCTTATGAGGAAACAGCGAAAAATTGAATAGTGGATAAAATCTCTGCGCCAATCTTGCAATATCAAATGGAACAAGAGCAACCGACTCCTTTTTAGTACTCTCAAAAAGGGTAGCAGCTAATGATTTCTTGGGCTGTGACTGGCCAGGTGAAGCTGGTGTTGATGTGGACACATTATTTGGTCTGTCTTGAGAAATATTGTTAGCATCTCTGCCAGTGCTAAGTACCGGTGATGGAAAAAGAGGTTCTTTCCTAAAGCGGATCCTCTCTGGAGTGCCATCCACATGGCTTTTTCTATACTTCACAACAGCTGTCAATTGAGTAAAAAAAGATTTTAAGTCATGGCAAACAAGATGAAAAAGAGTATTTGCAAAAAAAGGGTACTTGCGTACTCACCGCCTGCAACATTACTTAAATAGCTGAGGGCCAAATGAAGTGGTGAGACATCAAGGATGGACATAACAGGATTCTTAATTAATGGAATCCATTGGCATTGCGAGGTCTCAGAAAAAGCATGACTAATTGCTGACCGAAGATGCTGCCCTTCAAAATAGAATTGTTGACGTATAGTGTTTTTCCTAGCCAATGCTTGATCACGGTAGCCAACCAACTCAACTATCATTTTTTTAACATCAGCAGCCACACGCTGTTTAGATGGGTCAAGAACGCATAGAGAGAAGGTTTGGATCATGAGCTGAACATGTTCATATATCAAAATATGCAATTGGCCAAGTTGCTCATCAGTAAACCCCTTCACTACAGCAGCACCAGTTGCTGATGATGATGAGGAAGGGACATTGATGTTCTGGGATGGATACTGCCCAGGAACCTGGGGTGTAGGTGAGAAATTTGGGACAATCGGTCGCAAATTAGGTTTAGTTGATTCCTGTTGATGATTGACTGCCCTGGACGACTCAGGTCTCTTCTTCCTAGTCTGAGGCCTATGACCATCTTTCTTATTCCTACCATTTATGTTCTTATCATTCTCGACATTTTCACCACCATCACTTTCCAGGGCCTCCTCAATTTCGAGCTCAAAGTCCGCATCATTCTCATCTTCATCCTGGGTTTCATCCCCCTGGCAAGGCTGCGTGCCATCGCCTCCACCAGACAGGACAGCTGAAAGAAACTTGCGGTATTCCTCTTCCTCATCAACATTCTGCAGGTCACCATCATCGTCAGATTCCTGGAGAAAGGTCTCTAACTCGTCAAGTGCGTAATTTGCCAGAGAGTATCTTGCCCGTGTCCGCCTGCAGATTGCATCTTCCTCGGTACCTTCATGCAACAGGGGATGAGTATTCTGTACTGGTGGAGAGAAGGAAGCTACAGTCTGTAAGGGTTTCTTTCCCAATCCATTAACACGGCCTTCTCCATTCTCACAATGCAACTGGGTAGAACTGCTCGCTGGAACATTTTCTTTGCAGGCACCTTTGGCTGACAAACTTTCTTTGGGAAGCACACAATCACCTGCATTTTCTTTGCAGGCACCTTTGGCTGACAAACTTTCTGTGGGAAGTACACAATCACCTGCATTTCCATTACCAGGACTATTGCGAAGAAGCACCTCAGTGCTTGGTTGATTTTGAAAGCTAGTTCCCTCGCATTCTGCCTCTGAGGTGAGGCTTGACGAGGTCTCGGATGGTGATCCTTCCCTATATAAAGGGTTGAAATCCATGTCATCGTCCTCCACATCATCATCGACGTCCATACTAAATGAAGCAAGGGTAGCTTAGGCAAACAGTAGAACTGCCTACACCCTGTCATTCATTAGGTGAAGACAAATAAGTTAACAGTCTTAAAACTGTTGCTTGCTAGAAACAATAACAAGAGGCACGGCAATGAAACATAAGACTAATACATATAGCAAATGCCTTAAATAACACGTAGGTAAAGCCGTCAAGGATCGTGGCGAAGTAATTTTAGCTTTTTATAGGAGATGACTTATAGGTGCAAGACGGTCATTTAAGTTTTGGGAATGATATTAAGTCACAAAAGCTCATGTAGTATTTAACTCGACGGTCGCAAATGTAAATTCTTTAATGATTACATCTTTAGCTACAGTACATACAAAAGCATGCGATTATCAAGGATTAAGATGATGAACAAAACTTTCTTCATGCATTTCAGTCGGCTTTTTTTACAATAAATCATATCTTCCAAGTCTTCGGAGAATCAAGTCGCAATGGATGGTGACTAGAATGTATACAGCCACAAAGTAGACATGCCTAGAGTGTAATACTTAGGAAGAGGCATATATATCCTACAAACAACGCAATCCGGCCAAAAGAAGGGTGAAGCACGAACAAAATAGACTAGTTACCAAGCATATTCGAACCCTAGTAGCATAATAGCGCCCGGATTTACAGAATTTTGGTGTGAAGGGGAACCAAAATTGCAGGTTTCCTGGTGAGAGAAACTTCCAAATTCGCGACCGACAGAACGGGCCTTCGACAGTCCCGATGAAATTGATGAAAAAGATCGGGGCAAGGAGGTGAAATTAGGGCTTACAGTTTGGACCCGGCGACCTCCCTCCGCCGAGGGGGGGCGAGCGAGAGGCGCGTTGAACCGGGCACGGGACGAGCCGATCTCGGCTCCTGGGAGGGAGAGCTCGGCGCCGGCGGCGGCCTCGCGGGGGAAGGACGCGCGGCGTCGGCGGCGGAGGCGGACGACGGCGACGGGGGAAGAGGGTGCGGCCGTACGTGGTCGGTTACCCCCCAGCGGAACGAACCGATCGAAATCGGGTGGCGGACCGGCTCGCGACCCGTTAAATGGACTCATGGGCCTGGCGAGGCCCACGCGTAGAGGTGAAACAAGCCCACCGCCCGTGCAGCCCATCTTGCCGCCGTGACATTCGTCAAACCCTAGCCCGCTCCGACCCACCGTGCCGAGGCAGATCGAGCCGTCCGCCCCGCGCGGAGAGGCGATCCGCGCCGTCCAGATATCGGCCGCTGCCTACATATAAGCCGCCTCCGCCAGCGGCCGCCGTCGCGTCGCCCTCTCCCACACGAAGCCCCCACCCCAACCCACCGAGCTCCTCGTCTCCGGCGGCGGAAGGAAGCAGCAGCCATGGTGAAGGGACGCACGGGGCAGCGCGTCAGGCTCTACGTCCGGGGCACCATCCTCGGCTTCAAGAGGTGAGCGGCCCCTCCTTCTCGCCGGATCTGGCCGTTCATTTCATGGCGGCGCGCTGATGGGAATGCGGGGAAATTTTTGCAGGTCCAAGTCGAACCAGTACGAGAGCACGTCGCTGGTGCAGGTCGAGGGGGTGAACACCAAGGAGGACGTGGCGTGGTACGCCGGGAAGCGCCTGGCGTACGTCTACAAGGCCAAGACCAAGAGCAACGGCACCCACTACCGCTGCCTCTGGGGCAAGATCACCCGCCCGCACGGCAACTCCGGCGTCGTCCGCGCCCAGTTCAAGTCCAACCTCCCCGCCGAGTCCATGGTCAGTGCCCGCCCGCCCTTGGTTTACGATGCGCTGCTTGCTTGCTTGATTGCTGGTGATTTTTGCTGAGGCCGTTTGTTGCTTTGCGTTGTGCAGGGGCGCAAGGTCAGGGTGTTCATGTACCCGAGCAGCATCTAAGGTTAGCGTCTGCTGCACTATCGCTGATGTTTGTTTAAGGCTGTTGCTTAGCTCTGTGTGATTTACTCTAGCATGTGTGTTGCATTTTGTCCTGCGCCTTGAGAATGACTAGGATGAATGTGATAGAATTCCAAGTGTAGTCGAAATATAAAGTATGCCTAAAGTAGATGAACTTGTGCAATGTGTCCATCGAGATATTAATGGTTTGGCTTTGGTCAATCTGGTTCATGTAGGTTTCTGAATGATGCCTTCTAAGCAATACTGAGTTGTTAATCTGTACTGTATCCAGTTTGATCTGTTAACATTGTAAATTATTATTAGCTTTGTTGCTAGTTCTAGTGTTCTGTTTTTGGAATGTTATTTACTCCCTACGTCTCATAATATAAGAGCGTTTTAGACACTACCCTTGAGTGTTATTAGTTTTTGAGGGAGTAGATACCAAGGCTTGTGCCGTTTGTCAATCTAGAAGGCTCACAGTATGAACAGTGGGGGAATGTGCTTACATGAAGCGTTTTTATTAGAAAAAGCTGACTTCACTTGAGTGTATTAGTTTGTACCTCAAACTGCTGATTATTTTGCTATTGCAAATTACTGGTAAGCAGGTTTTAGATTTGATGTTATGGTAGAGTTGCATAATTAAGATTGGAAGTCACCTAGTTAATGTTTTGACATCAGAAGTTTGAGGGCTATCATTTCATTGGAATGCCATTCCTTATTTTTAGCAGCATAAAGTTGGTCTAATTTTCTGATATGAGATACTGTCTTGTGTTGCCTCAAATTATGAACATGATTTGCTATTTGTCATTCTAGCTGTGTTTGATACATCCATTGGGTTGGCTATGCTAACGTTGCTTCTCTTTTTGTTTTGTTCAATGCAGGTTTTTTCGATCTAGGGCCAGTAATGCTTGTTTCTTGCGATTGTCATGAGCTGAGAAATGTCATTTTATGGTGAATCTATGCTATGTTGGCAACTGAAACTGATCATGTATTCCGAGAATCTGTGGAAGTTTTGGCTATTGTTTGTCAAATGTGTGGACCATTTTAGTATATTTCTATATCAGCACTAAAGCGTAATTTGTCATGAGTTTGTGACTGTTTTGCAATGTTTGAGTGTTATATGATAGGTTATCTGCTGTTTGATCCATATGATAACTCAGACATATATGATCATGAAGCAGATTGCATCCATAGGTACTGCTGATCCAAATTCCTGATGCCAACATGAATGGTCCATATTCCCAGTCTATTTCATTGTGCAGCCGCATTGTGGAATATGGTTCCCAAGCTCAGCCTAGGGATCGTTCTCCAGCAGTTTTGGTTTATAGAAATTATTTCTTTACGTTTATGTGGCACGCTTGCTTGGCCGACCAGATGTGAGCTGCATAACAATTTGCCTTCTGGTTGGATTGACAACAAGGGGAACCTCTATAAAACAGCACCAAGATTTGATATAAATACATTATTTACTTAAAATGAAAACGTGGCATCCTTTGGATGCTCAGAAACATCTCTTGCATCAGGCATAATAAACCAACGAACATATAGCCTGCAACATGGTGCAAAGATAGGTCACATGCATAGGCAAGTAGGAATGATGCATCTTGGTTTAAGTTCTATTTTAGCACAATGACCATTGTTTAGAACCCTTATATAAATCTCTTCCTCCCTCCCTTTTAGCAAAAAATTGATGGTCCATCAAAGTCATATGTGTTTTAGGTTTGAGTGGCAAGGAGATTGAGCACGGTTACAGGAGTTGGTTGCGCTTTTTATTTGACCAATGCTTCTCATTGAAGGTACCAGGTTTGAGTGTTCATAAATAATATTGCAAGATATTTTTCATATGCCACGACCTAGTGGAATATCTGAATAAAAATTATTGAGCTCTCTTCAGTAAAAGTACTATAGCGGGAGATGTTATGTGGACTGTAAAAATAACTATGCAACATACATATTATGTTCCTGCTTCACAGTGTGAACAATTGCCATTGTTGTGTGTCTATTATTAGACTATCTATGTGGTTCACTAGTTATAGCTAATATTCTTCTTCACGAACTCATGACTAATCTTGAGTGATTAAATTGTCTAGTGGCTTTGAGGATTCAACATACTATTTGATCATACAATATGCTATTTCCTTATTTGAAGTTTTGAACATACGGTAGACTATTAAGTTAAAAAAAAACATATGATGGGCTATTTGAAAATCCCAAGGTTTAGAGGATTGATGTCTAATAGGATTCTGCTTTTGCATGTTAGCTCAAGTTTATCTCAATTTCATATGTAAATATTTGTATTGTCTAATTCTGTCGGTGTTTGCCTATATCACTATATGAGCACAATGCACTAGTGTTATTGATAAATAATGTTTATATAATTAGTTTGACAATGAGTAAGTTAGGATGATCCACATTCGACAAAGTAGTTGGCTTCTCTGCCAGTTCCAGCATATAAGCATACTTAGGTTGTGTGTTTGGGATGAATTTGATTCGTTCCTAATTTTTCTTCCATGTGGCATGTGCAACACAGTCAAATGGTACTATTGATGCATATTCATTTGATTAGATCATCAGTAAAGGAAAGTAAGTATGATTGCATGACACTTGTGCAGACATGTGCTAACCTAACCTTATTTGTTAGGTCTGATATCTCTCAATAGAGTAAAATGCACAGAACCACCACTTTAGTGTCATAACTCCAGGAAAATCATCACTTTACAAAATGTGACACTTCGCACAGAACCAAAAAATTGACAGTGGCAAAAAACACTGATTCAAAATGCTAAGTGTTTTGATGACGTCACTAATCAGCAGGGTTCGTTTGCTGGGCTGAGTTGGCAAGGAAAAAATGCCGCGCAGGCAAGTTGACTTGGTCTTCTTCTTTCTCATCCCCTCTCTCTTTGGCACTTTATCAAACACGTTGTGTGCAGTCGAGTAGGAGGCTGGGCGACACAGCAGGGTAGAGCTTTGCCTTCCACGTCCCAGGCTGCCACGCGCCCGGCTGCAGCCACAACATAGGAAACGACAGGACGTGCACCACATACCCGTACAACCTCGTCACCCTGCTCCGCCTGGACATGTATCGCCCATTCGTGGACGCGTTCGCCGGTCCCGTGGCGCGCCCGGTG